ACACACACACACACACACACACACACACACAATGATAATAAAATAAAGAAAGAATATTTCTTCCATAATCTTACTTATGAATTGATATTTAGGTACTAACCTCAGAGTAAAAGAATACAACACACTTGGCTAACAAGATCCTCATCCCTGGGGTGAGCAAAATTGTCTCTAAAAGGATATCTGAAAAGGGCTTTATTCCATCTAAAAAGGGCTTTTCCCATTCGTTCTGCCACATTTTATTTCAAAAGGAGCTTTCTCTGATTTCTACAGCTGCAGTCTTACCAGGACCAGGTTGTCAGCAAACTGACTCTTGGTCATTCTGTGGTTCAACACAGTAATTTCTATGCAAAGAAAAGTTCCTAAAAACAGAATCTTACTTCACCTTGTTATCAGTACAAGCCCTCAGGACAACCAAGGTTTCCCAGAGGTTTACCAGATGGCTTTCTGGGAGAAACACTAAGCAAAACTGAACCAAAACACTAAAGCTTGTCACAGGGGCTTCAGAAGTTAGGCAACTCATGATGAGGACAACAGCAAGAAACTACTGTGCATATTAGGAAGATGCCAGGCAAGCAAAGCAGTACTTTGGACAGGTGCATTCCCAGCTATGGAGAGCCAGGACAAATACAGCCTGGAATACTGGGTGTGGTAGTGGTATTTTTCTTCTTCCAACAAAAGATACAAAATTTGTGATAAAGACGCTGCCTCAGTAGATCAGAGAGCACTTTATGAAAAATGGAGTTAGGCTGGAGGTTTTACACCTGACTTCTATGTAGCCATTCCAGGGAATTCTACCCCTGTAAAAGTGAGCACAGATTAGTTCCCAGGCCAACCCAGTGAGCCACTCAACCTAGCTGTTAAAAATAGGACAGTTATCACTGCAGAATGGTGGAGAGATAGGACCACAGCATGGGGTCATGGGAAAAGTAAGTTTGGCTTCTGGGTAGGTCAAAGGCAATCAGAAGTACAATTCTCTCCTGAGGGGATTTCACTGACCTTATCAGACCCAAAAGCTACAACTCTTGTTGCATAGGTCCTGCTTTACCTTGGTCTTAACCACACAGCAGAAAAGTATAAAAATGAAATAGAAGAAGTAAAGCCATGCTGTTATGTTGAGCTATAGGGGACTCAGGTCAGCAGTTTCTGACATTGCCAGTCAAGCGGAAGACCCAATACTATTATGGGCTACTGGACTCTTTTAGATTATTTTGCTGAGTTTACACACCTATAATATTCAAATAACAGAACTTAACAAAAAAAGGGTATACAGATGAATGTCCATTTTGTATCTGTGTATTCAGTGTGGTTAGGATAGATATATAGTTACATTCTCTTATTGAATAGAGTGATTTGTTCTAATGGTGTTTGTGAATAGGATATCATGTCCGCATCTTGTACAACAATTAACCACTAGGAAGAATGTATGCAGTGTGTTAATTATTGAAACTGTCCTACCAATTTGATTTGAAACTGCTATTGTTTTTTGTTTATCAATAAAATTATAAGAAAAAAAAGAAGTACAATTCTCAAAGCTTTATACTGCAGGAAACTAAGGAAATCGTAAGGCAAGTTTGATTTGTAAGCATGACCAATAATTCTCAAGTCTTAGGGGAGGCATGACTAAGAGAAAAATAGTGGGTTACTTTCTGGCCAATGTGGCTGAGGGATGGGGCCAGCAGAATAGCTCAGTGGGGCCCCACACCAGGATGCACTGAGTTGGCAATTGAGACTGGGTGTGGTGGCACAAGCCTGTAACCCCCCAGCTCTTGGGAGGCTGTAAACAGGTGGATCACTATGAGTCTGATCTAGTAGTGAGACCCTGAACACCCAGTCGACCCTTCCCTAAATGGCTGAGAGATGCTCCATTAGGTACAAACAAGGAAATATAGAGTAAAAGAGCATAAATAATTTTTTTTCAAAGGATTGAAATTTAGATCAAATCCAAGACAAGCTGCCAGGTTAGAGAAACAAAACAGGATATGGGGGAAACAGCTAGGTTGAGTGGCTGGCTGGGTTGGCCTGGGAGCTAATCTGTGCTCATTTTTACAGGGAAACAAAACATCTTAAAGGCTAGAAGGACTGAAACAGAAAGCAGCATGACTCTCTTAAGTGGAAAGCTTCGCTTAAAAGGTGGTTCTGGGAAGATGATGTCCACATACTACAGATAGAGTTGAGAATTCAGCTCCTATTCACAGGGAGCGGGAATGGCTGCTAGAAATATGCCTCTTGAAATGAAGATAGGTGGCCTGTTTCTGGACTAGGATAGGGATCCTCCTCACCCCATGTACACATACTAGCTTGGGGGAAGAGAACCTTGGCCTTCATATGGAGCTCTCTGTGAAGGAAACATGAACAAGTAAAAGAGAAAAATTGCTGCTTCCTCTGCTCACCAAAATACTACTGATCCCCACATACGTGACCATCCCCAGTGCACACACACCATCCAGTTCTCCTCTCCAGACTCCAACTGGGCACCCAACAATTTAGGTGTGACAGTAACTACTTAGAGTTAGTAAAGACCCCCCAGACCAAGGGCTCACTCCCAAAGGATTGCCCCTGCTTCAGATGTTAAATTCAATCAGTGGGTTCCCAGGTTATCCACATTTCTGTCCAATTTTGTTTTAAATGAAGGGACCTAACAATCCCCTTCTCAGGTTAAATAGCTCACAGAAATCAGGGAAATATTTATATATGAGTAGGGGATTCTTATAAAGGATATGATGAAGGATGTAAATAAACAGCCGTGTGAAAAGCTTCTAGTGCAAGAGTTTGTTCCCTGTAGAGTTGTTTGTGGCTTTCTGATCCAATGATGTCTTTACCAAGTTAGAAGCTCTGAAAACTTCATAGTTAAAGGATTTTATGGATTCTTCATCATGTAGACTGTTGGATTTTTTAAAAGAAACGTCTGATCCTTCTTCCTTCCATGAATAAGAGGGGAGACTTCACATTCCAAGCTTCTAATCATGGCTTGTTGTTCCTGGTGACTAGTTCCCATCCTGAAGCTGAATGTACTCAGCTGACTCATTAGAACAGAGGGCTCCTCTACTATCTAGAAAATTCAAAAGGACTTAGGAGCTCTGAGTCTGGACCTGAAGTCAAAGGTCGTATAGTAGAATAAAAGATGTTCTTAGCACTTTTATCACTTAAAAACTGTAAGGGTGATAGGAGTTTTATGCCAGCACTTGGGGTGGAGACCAAATGTATTTCTTACAAAGTAGTGTCACAGTGATACATTCAAGTTGCAGACTTACACCATCCATAGACAGATTTGAATTTTCCAATTTTCCAAATGAAATAAGAGAGCTGAGGTGAGAGTAACATACAACTGATCCGGTACCTCGGTTATTGATGGAGGTAGGAGAAAATACAGCAAGTAGAGATACTACCACAGACCTGATGCAGAACCACACACACACACAAACACACACACACACACACACACACACACACACACACATTGTCTGCCTCAAGTTAGCTCACAGTCCATACCAGAAAAGGGTCCCCATGAAGGAGGGCCTGCCAATTGATCAATGCGCACATCTGTAGCCCTAGAACTTTGATCAAGACAAGAGCCACATTAAGGTGCGGGTGAAGGATAGAACTGATAGGGCAAGAATAGGAGAGAGGTTTTTGTTTTGTTTTGCTTTGAAATTGCTGTTGAAGAGACAAAGTGAATCAGTGGTTGCTAGGACCCTGGCATGAGGGAAAGGGTGGATGTTGCTTCAAGGGTGCAGGGCTCGGCGGGCGGGGGGCCTGAGCAAGTCTGTAGATCAATGGCACAGCCATGTGAAAATGCTAAGCACGAATGAGTTCTTAGAAATGAATATTCTTGGTATAAATTCTAAAAATGAGATAATTGGTGAACAAAAAAGGCACTCCTGTCTACAGCATAAAAGCCAAAGACTAGAAGAACTGTGCCGGCTTAGAGCTGCGGCCAACCCAAAGCAGTGAGGGATGTGTGGCCCACCTTGGGCCTGGAAAAGGGACACAGGGGGAACAAAGGCAGCTTTGAGCAAGGTCTGTGAGCAGTTAAGCATGGCTGTAGAGATGCACCCAGATTTCTGGAGTCTTGATTCTGGTCAGCACAGCTGAGGGAAGCGGGCATCAGGGCACTGTGCACCATATGGGCAACATATTTGTAGGTGCAAAATTCTAATCAGTTTAAAAAAAAATAGAGGATGTATAGGAGTCCGCCTTCTAGGAGAGAGGTGAATAGAGGGGAAGATGGTGATTATCCATCACCAGGGTGCAGACAGGAGGCAAAGGAGCAAAGGTGGAGAGAGCTGGTGCTGGAATGAATTACAGGTCTTCTCTTCAGAGATTTTTTTTTCCTTCTCATACTGGGGGTTGAGCCCAGAGCCTTCGCAGCAGTGAACTACATCCCGTGCCCTTTCACTAAAATAAAATAAAATAAAATAAAATAAAATAAAATAAAATAAAATAAAAATTATTTTGAAATAGAATCTTGCTAAGATGTTGCAAGATTTAACCCAGAGGCTGGGCTTAAACTTGAGATCCTCCTGCCATAGCCAGGCAAAGCTGGGACTCCGGGCTAGCAGCCCCATCTCCAGCCCAAATGCTGTATTCTCTCTCTCTCTCTCTCTCTCTCTCTCTCTCTCTCTCTCTCTGTGTGTGTGTGTGTGTGCTGGGGGCCCGAATGCGGGTCCTTGCCCACTTGCCAGGCAGGCACTTAGGCCTCTGAGCTACCTCCCTGGCTAACCACGGTGTTCTCTGCAAATCACGGTCTCAGGAAGGTCTCAACGCCTATGTAGTAGAGACACAGTTGACCTGCACGTGGGATGGCAGCGGAGCTTGTGGAGAAACCGAAGCGGGTGTGGGAAGAGGAACCTGGTGGAAGCAGAAACACTGGAGTGTCCTTTCCGTGGAGCAGTGCCTAAGAGAGGTGTCCCTGGGGGTTGTGACAGGTGCCAGGACCTCGCGACCCCGCAGGGAAGGAAACCCGAGCTCGTGTCAGAAACGTTGGCGTCCTCCATCTTCCGGAAGTCTGTGTCTCTTTCTGCCTCTTTAAAGCTATCGACAGCGCGGTAGGTGCCCGTGGTCCTAAACCCGCTGCTGAGGTGGTGTTGTTCCCCTGAGCATCCCTTTTGGTCAACTGTCCCAAGGTGAGAGCGGGTTCCACTTCTTTGAGTCCCTGAGACCTCTACTGGGGTGTCATCTCCTGGGGTCTTTCCTTGTTTTAGCCCAGGGCTGCCTGTCAGCCAAAGGTCCCCGAACATGCTGGAAGAGTTTTGCTCTCTTGCGTGAATACACTGTTTTTCAGAAAGCACAAGTGATTTCATTTTAACAGTTAAGCATCCTTGAAGGCAGGTCTCAACAACCAGCCTGTGTGCAAACGAAGCTGTGGGAAACTCTCCTTTCTTCTTCGGAAGACTCAGGACCGTTTAGGCAACCCGGCGCTGCTGACTGGCTCCCTTCTCCAGGCTTGTTGGGAAGGTAAGAAGGTGTGAACAGAGCCCAGCAGGAAAGGGGCTGAATGTAAACTAAGGCCTTTCTCTAGTGAGTCTGTGGCATCCAATACTTGAAAGAGGGAATTTTTTACAGTACATTCAGAAGCTGTGTGAGTGTAGACATACAGCATAACTCAAATTTCCTTGGAATGATTTGTCTTTTTTCTTCCTTCTTCCTGTAAGAGCGGATAGATGGCAAGCAAAAAGCAAGGTGAAGTGCAGTTACAGGTGGGTTGAACACACGTCACAGCTTGTGTCTTAGTTGCTTCTCTCATTGGTGGGACAAAATTCCTGACCTCCAAAGTTAGAGGAGGAATGGTTTATTTGGCTCACAGCTTGTAGAGGTTTCAGTTCATAGGTGGCTGACTCCGAGGTAGGGTGGCATGGAACAGGAATATGGCAGGGGAGAAATGGCCCATAGTAAGGCAGGCAGGAAGCAGCGAGCCTCCTTTCCTTCTTCCCCCCCTAATGTTCCATCCAGGTGATACACCTACTGATTGGTGCCACCCACACCCAGGCTGGGGTTTCCATTACTCACACCCAGAATGGTGCTGACCCCATTTAGTTATCACATACCCTTAATCCCAGTATCACAACCCTAGATCCAGCCATATCTGAGAAGCCTCAGAGCATGAGGCTTTGAGGGGGACATCTAGACACAAGCTATAAGGTCTTACTTTTTGCAGACTGTCATCAACAGTCAAAGCCTATGGGAAGAGATGTTGCAGAACAAAGGCTTAACAGGTACTGGGTCCCACTGTCCCATGTGACTTCCAGACACCCTACAGAGTGCCACCGTCCCTCAGCTCCCAGCCTGAAATCCTGCTCTCCCAGCCCCAGCCTCTGCCCAAGCTGGGGGCATGCCAATGTCCAGGTTCTGTGCCTCTGTTTTTTTCACAAGCTCTGTTACCCTCTAGTGATTGATGTTTACCAAGCCTGGTGTGGACCGTGCAAAGCCATGCAGCCTTTGTTCAGAAAACTGAAAACTGAAATAAATGAAGATGAAATTCTGCATTTTGTTGTTGTAAGGATTTTAATTTCACTGGACTATTGTTTCTTTGATAAAGTGCTAATACTTTATGTATTGTCTTAATCCAAGGAACCTGTTCATTCCTCAGCATAGATTGCCCACTTGGCACTCTTATTTTGTATTTAGTTCTACAAAGTCTGAGAATGAATGTGATTTTTATCTGAGTCCTACAATGTTGGGGTTAGTCACCATGACTGCAGACCTTTAAAAATAATGGAAATGGATCCATATCTATTGACCTGTTTGGTTTCTCCTGATCATATGCTTGGTGTATGCCCATTAGAGTTAGGCCTTCAAAAGCTATTTTGGAGATCTCCTTGAGTAGCACCCTAAATACTAATCAGTTACCAAAATTTACAGTGGTATTGATTTCCCCTTAATTATTGGTTACTCAAATGTGATAGTAGAATATTACAGCTGAACTTATTTGTCTGAACTACATGGATTATTCAATATATCTACAATAAATTGTCACCCTGTTAGATCTTTGCTGTCTAATACGGCGGCTGCCAGACATGAATAGCTAGCGACGCAGTGCTTGCACTGTGGCTAGACCAACAGAGGAACTGGCCTCTCCATTTTAAGTAATTTAAGTTTTAAATAGTCAATTATAGTAAAGCTCTTAAAGTTTGAGATAGTCTGAACATCCTTTTTGATAAAAAAATTTTAAAGATGAATTATCATGAATTAAAAATCAGTTAAGAAGGTGTGCTTCAAGTATAAAATATAAATCATATGTTAGGAGTTACTGTGGAAAAAGAATGTGAACTATATCATTAGTTTTTTACATTGATCACATGTTGGAGTGATAATATTTTGCATACAATGGGTTAAGGAAAATATATTATTACCTTATTTTCACTTATTTCCTTTGTGCTTTTAGATATAGCTAATAGAGACTTTTAAAGTATCTGACTCAGTTGGCTCAGTTGTATCTATGAAGCATACCCCAAACCAGCTGAGATCTAAGACGTAGAAACACATAATGGACTTGTCCTATTGTGCCTTGTCTCTAAAATATGTAGTCTGTAAGACTGACATGCAACCTTGTCTCAGTCACTCTTCTCTCATTGTTGGGACAAATACCCAACACCCAAAATGAAGGAAGGAGAGGCTTATTTAGCTCACAGTTCCGGGAGGTTTCAGTCCACACTCAGCTGGCTCCAAGGCAGAGCGGCACAGGGCAGAGAGCCTCAAGTTCATGATGGAGGAGCAACAATGACAACAGAGAGGAAGTCTGTCTCCCTTAAGTTTCATTCAAGCTATCCACGCCAGGCTGGGTGTAGCACTCACACCCATAATCCCAGAAGTACTGAGACCCATAATCCCAGTGGATCATGAGTTAATCTCAAACTCCAGAAGCCCCTGCCCTATGACTGCATGAGGCTTTGGGGGGACAACTAGACACAAATTGTAACAAACCTGCATGTGTTCTGAGTGCAGGTCTCGCACGCCCCTCAGTGCACGCCTTGGGTGAGTCTGCTGGCTGATCTTGTGTTTGACTCTTCCCACTCCTTTTCAGACAGGTTCTTATGGGACTTTCTTCCTTAACTTAATGTTATAGTGTGTGTTGTAAAGCCTAGAATCTCTCGTGTACTCTCTTATGGGACTTTGTTCCTTAATTTAATGTTACAGTGTGTGTTGTAAAGCCTAGAATCTCTCATGTACTATTGTTCTGCTTAAGAGGACCTATTCAGCAGCTTTTCTGTCACTGGGACAAAGCACCCAACATCCAAAACTAAAAGAAGAGAGATTTATTTTGGCTCACAATTTCAGACCATGGTCGGGTGGTGCCAAGGCAGAGGGGGCATGAGTAGAAGAGAGGGCAGCTTTCCACTTGCCTGCTGCTAGGAAGCTGAGAGGAGGAGAAGCCAGGGACAAGAACGAAACCTTCCAGGTCACACCTCCAGTGACCACCTCCACCCAGACCCCAACTTCTGGCACATGTTCAGCTATGAACGTGTACAGCTGGAGCCATACAGTAGGGGGCGCACTCTGAGTACCTTCCCTCAGTAACATGCATTTAAGTTTCTTTCAGCACTAAAAGAAATAGCAATCTGCCATGCAAAGGTGACTCATGAATCACGTTATTGATCTTTTCATGGTGGATTATTATTTCTTTTAGTTCTGAATAATATCCCCTGGTCTGGATAGAGCTCAATTTCTCTTTTCTCTATTTACCATCTGAAGAAAATCTTGGTAGCATCCCAGTTTAGAATATAGCTATAAACATCTGTTCACAGATTTGTGTGGACATAAATTTTCAGCCTAATTTGGGTAAATACCAAGGATAGTGATCGCAGGATCATATGGTAAAAATATGTTTTATGGTAAGAAATAGTAACAAATTGAATCTGTCTTTCCAGGTGGTTGCAAAGTTTTATTTTCCTACCAGTTGTGAATGCAGGGTCTCTAGTTCTATATCCTGGTCAGTATTTGGTATAGTCTGGGTCCTAGATTTTGGACATTCTTTTTTTAAAAAAAAAATGTATTTAGTACAGGGTCTATAGGGTCTCACTACACAGACTGCAATCATAGTGATCCTTCTGTTTTCAGCCTGGCATGCGCTGGGATTACAGACACGCAACACCACCTCTAGTCTCAGTTGCTGTCTCAGTGTGCCCCAGGGGCAGGGTCAGCATGACATACTGGAGATCCAACCCAGGTCCCTGTGTCTGCCTAAGCAGGTGCTTTAATCCGCTGAGCTACCTGGCCAGCCTGTTTAATTTTGGGCGTCCTAAAAAGTGTGTGGTGATATCTTGTTTTACCTTGTGTTTCCTTGGTGCCATGTGATGTTGAGCATCTTCCTATATACTTATTTGTCCTTTGTACATCTTTTTTAGTGTGATGTATGATAATTATTTTGGATCATTTTTAAATTGAAGTGTTGGTTTGCTTTATTGTTAACTTTTAAACTTTGTTGTGTGTTTTGAATATGACTTCTTTGTCAGATACATCTTTTGATAATATTTTCTGCCCGCCTGTGGCTTATTTTATTCTTTCAAAGTTTTTTGAAAGGCACAATTCTGTAACAAGCTACTTTACCTTGAAGAATCAGCCCCATCTGACAGGTTGTGATTGCAGGCTTGATTTTTGGCAGGGAGGAGAAGGTGGATTGCCACAGGCAACTGACAAGGGTTTGGAGTAAGAAGTGAAAAGACAACAGAAGGGTCTAGCAGCTGACAGCAGGATCACAGAGAATCAAGGATCAGAAAAATCCTGTGGAAATCTAATATTACCATGCCTTTGACCTATAATAATTTCTTGTGTTCTTTATTCTGTTTAAATAATAAAATTCTTGTGCATCCTGATGGTTGGAATTAGGAAAGTTTGTGTGAAGAGGGCCAGAGTCCAAGTCAAGGGAAGCTGCAGTGACCAACGGGAATTAGGGTTTTTAAACGTTAGGTGGAGGGTTGATATGATTTGCTGGGGAGTTGCCTGGGGATCACTGGTGCTCACTTCTGAGTGTGTCTGGGTGGGTCATAAAGGCATGGCCTTGTGGTCTATGTCTGTCCGGTCCCTTGCCCCCTCCTTCCTCTCTGGCCCTCTGCTATGCTGCCTTCCCATGATGAACAAAGCATCTTGGCTCTATCACATGCTTCCACCTTGATGCTTCTACCTTGGAGCCAGCTCACCATGGACTGAACCCCCAAAGAATGTGAGCCAAATTAAATTTCTCCTCTTTTAAGCTATGGGTGTCAAGTATTGTGTCCCAATGACAGAAAAGCTGACACATTCAGGGCCAGTGGGGAGAGACTGGTTCTCCGGGTCAGCACGTCTGGACTCTCACCTGTTGGTCTTCCTGGAAGGAAACTTGGACATAAAAAAGCCAAAGCAGAGATCTTTAGACAAGCAGAAAGTGGAATTCTATACTGCACTGGTAGAGTTCTGGAGTCATGTAATTCCTGATGTATATAGAGTCTGAGTAGGAACAAAGCAAGGGTACTTGCAAATGTGATGGCTGAGGAGTATGTGGGAATTACAGGATATGCTTTATTGCACCTCCAGTTGAACAGCTTCAAGATGAAAGCCTGGTTATAGTAGAGGGCACTGTGTGATGACAGAGTGCTCTCTCTCTCTCTCTCTCTCTCTCTCTCTCTCTCTCTCTCTCTCTCTTTCTCAAACAATTGTACCTACTATACTTGGAATACTATTGGACTACTGGGGGTTGATCCCAGGCCTTCCCATTGAGCTACATGCCAAGCCCTCATTTATATTTTTATTCTGATGCCGAGTATGTCTAAGTCATCTAGGCTGGGCCCTAATTTGGGGTTCTCCTGCCTCCAGTCTAACAGAGTGCTGGGATTACAGACATATGACACCTGACTCTAAGATCTTTCAACCAACTGTGTCTGCCCATTTTACCTGTGTAAGGCAGAATTCCTCAACCTCCTGAATGGGATGGGAAATATATCCATTTATATGTGTGTTTGTGTGAGTCAGCGGTCCAGCTCTGAGACCAGGTACCAAAGGAGGAGAGGTTTATTTTCCTACCCTGGTGTGTAAGGCTTTCTTCCACTCATGGTCCGCTGGTTACATGGCTGCTAGGCCTGTGGTGAGGCAGGAGTGGCACACTGGGGGGACGAGGAGGAGAAGGAGGAGGAGGAGGACGAGCAGTATTCACCTCAGGTCTGCTGGGGAGTAGAGAGGGACAGAGCAGGGGGCGAGGGCAGGGGACCAGACCCTTTCTTAAATCCTTACAGAAATCACCCTGAGTTGCAGAGTCACCAAGGCCACCCCGCATGACTCACTTCCTTCGGTTGAGCCCCACATCCTCTTTCTTTCCTTTTTTTCCCTGGTAGAACCAGGGATTGAACTCAGACCCTTGCGCTTGCCAGGGAAGCGTTTATTCTACCCCGGCCTCTCCCAGCTCCTCTTTCTGTTGCCTCTCAGTAATCCTATTCTCATAACCTCATTAACAGATTAATCCCCCTCTGAAGTTAGGGTCCTCATAAATCAGTCGTCTCAAAACCCCATCAGCTGGTAGTCAAGCCTTCATAAGCTTTTGCAGTTTTACATATCAACTGTAGCACTGAAGGAAAGCACCACAGTTATTTTTTCCAAAATAGGCCCTATTTGATGTACTAACTTGTTGATTTTAGCAACAAAACCACACACAGCGGCTCTGAATAGTCTATGGTCTGTGTGCCTGCACTCAGCAACAGCACATATGCGTAGATTAATACTGTTTTTTATGAAACGATAGGCCCAAGAGAGGTGTTAAAAAAACAAAAACAAAAAACCTTAACCCTAAACTTCCTCTGGAGCAGCAGTGCCGAGGCGCCCTCTGGTGGGACAATGTGATTTCTGCAGCTAGCCCAGGAAAAGGGCCCCTTTCCCCAAAGTTAAATTTAAATCCTTACAGAAATCACCCTGAGTTGCAGAGTCAGTGTAAATGTTTTGGCTATGTCCATCTTCCTAAGAATAATATTAAAAATTATGGACAAAATAAAATAAAATAAAAATGACAGATATATAGCGACCTCTTGGAAGCCAGGGTAACCGATTGCACGACCTCAGCAGCTATCACAGCCCAGCGGTGCTTCAATTCTTCACATAAGATGATCTAATGCTTGCACTCAAATGTACTTCATTAAGCAATCCCTGGATTACAGAAATATACTAAATCAGCAATGGCAAAGCTTTTAGAGATCGAATGCCCAAACTACAACGCCAGACCCACTTACTGATTGCAGCAGAGCAACACTACAGTTAACCCCGAATACTGAGGTTTGGACTTATAGAAAACAGTCACTATCAGCTGCTCCACCGCTCTAACGACTAGAGATAGTATACCCAGTAAAATGTAAGAGCAGTGTGAAGAGTTGCTACATTGCAGCATTTAGGAACAGTGACAGGACAAGCATGTGCACACCGGCAGCACGCATGCACTCTTTTTCTAATCTCTCTCACCCGGGGTTGACTGAATCCACAGATGGAGATCTCGATGGAGGGAGGATACCTCATGGTCTTGAGGCATCACCATTACAATGTTCTCATTATAAGAAAGTGTTAAGGATGAGGAGATAGTTAAGTTGTCTAAATGCCTGCCTGGCAAGAGCGAGGACCCAGGTTCGACCCCAGTACCACATGCTGTGCTGCCCCCAGAACCCTGGACGTGCTGTGCAGGCCCCAAAACCAGGTGTGGTGATGCTCGCCTGTAATACCAGCCCTAGCGAGGCTGAGACGGGAGGATCACTGCAAGTCTGAAATGCGTAGTGGTTCTCTATACCAAAAAATAAAAATAAAATAAAATGAAGGTATTAAGAATAAAATAATCCAATGTAATAATAGACATGATCAATAATACTTGCTTATTTATATCCTTACTTATGTGTGATTAGAGCATCTACGCTGCCTGTTCAGTTTAAAGGCATGATCCGAAATAGAATGAGCGCCCCTACCGGGTGCCATCCAACAGAGGCCCACAGAGGCATGAGGGTGTGTCTCATCCGCTGGCTCTGGCGCTGTGACTTCTGCCTCTTCCCCAAAGTTGAAATGATCATGCAAGGGAAACATCATGAATCACTCAGGATGCGGAGGCAGCCTTGACAGGTCCGCTGGAGACATTAAGAAAGGACTTCTTCTCTCATCCATTTTGTGCTAGGGCAGCAAGGGAGGGAGGGCAGGATGGGAAGAGAAAGGAAAAAAGGATAGAAGGGAAAAGTGGAAGCAAAAAGCGTTTGTAAATAAGGAGGGAAAGAAAGGTTGAAGGGTGGGGAGACAAGCACTCAAGTTCAGCAGTGCACAAGGACAAATTCCCTACGATGAATGTGATCGTTGTGCATATCAAGTGTACGAAAATTAATTTTAAAAAATAAGATCTACTGAATAAAGGAGAGAGCGCTACTAGAACTACTTCACAAAGTGGCAGAATGATGGGATAAATTTGTTCAAAGCCAGGGAAAGGACTTTGAGGTGGATTCATAACACTATGTCTTTCACGGTGGTAATTTTTAAAAACTTAAGCACACCTTACTTTTCTCATAACTGGATGTTGAGGAAGAGCTGAGACACAAAGGCCTGGAGGAGGTGTGTCCTGCCTGTGCAGGGGACAGCGCCTGGCCCTGGGCCAGGGATAGGAAGTGCGAGGGGAGGGTAAGAGACTTGGGCAGGAGAGAGTGCGGCACTTGGGAAGAAGGGTGCTTGAGTGGAATCGGGAAAGGAGGAGCAGAACTGGGCAACGAGGAAGGAAAAAGACAAAGAATTGACTGGGGCTGGGCGCGTGAAGAGAAGAGTGATAGAAAGTTGGTGTCAGAGGAGGCGGGGCTTGAGCCTCTGGTCTACGCAATTCGATCTTTAATACAACTGTCAGGTACCTAGAGAATGCTGCTGTCAGTATAAAACTTGTATTAGCTCCGTAGTGCTTAACGTAGTGTATTAGAGGACTTGGAGGTGGTCTCCTTATTATTGTATAAAATGTCTCCTCTTTTCAGGCAGAAGCTGACAATATCGTGAGTCTGCAGTCCTACAGAGACAAATGCGAACCCCTTTTTCTCTTTAGCGTTGTAAGTAGAACCCTTGTCTCCACTATACTGGCAGGTTCCATTTTGCAGTTAAGGAGCAAGTTGCATTGCAAAGTTGTCAGGGAACTGTTTGCTGGTGATAGCAATGGTTCACTGTTGGCTTTATCTCTGATTGTCCATCATTACAGTTTAGAATTTGACATTTAGGAGTTTGTAATAGGTTAAAGAGCTTAGACTATCAAACAGTGAACAGATCAGAGAAAAGTAAAATAACATGGTGCTTACCTACACTGAGGGAGCCCTCAGAAACCTGTACACTGAAGTATTTACAGGAGTGAAAAATTGAGACTTCAAATACCCAGTGGGAGAAAAATGGCTATAAATATTCATAGATACCCACCAGAGAAAGTATCTGTATGATCACTATTTTGGAATACATATTACATTTATTTCTAGAAATGCTAAGGAAGATGGCACAAAGTTTAGTCATCAAAATTTTCTATGTATGAGGGAAGGATGTGTCAATGTTCCTTCATTCAATTTTTTTTGTGTGTTTCCCAAATATTCTGCGATCAACACACAACTTTAGTGATCAGAAAACCCTAGTAAGCACTACTGAACTATTTTTTTTTTAAAGCAGAGCCAGACTGTCTTCCTGTGTGCTTTCTAGAACTGATCTAGGCAATTAGAAGGTTTTCTCAGATTTTTGATAAAGTTTGTTTTCTCTTTCCTGCCTCCACTTACCGAAATCCTGCTCCTTCCTTACCACAGTCCCTCAGAAGTCCAGGAGGACGAGAGATTTTGCAGCCAAAGTGTGTCAGGCCAGGAGTGGCCTTGCTGCTTCTCCCACTTCCACTCCCTTTTTTCCTAACTCATACTGTCTTGCTTATTAGAAATCTGTTTCATTGGGCACCATTTTCTTCTCCTCCCTCTTCCTCTGCTTGCTGATCTTCAAAGCATTTCTCTTGGTGACTGAAGACTTTGGCACATGACACCAGGACTTTTTCGCAGAAGACCTGCCATCACGTTGGGGATACCGGCATTCACACTCCACCAATGAGTTTTTTTCTTCCAGTGTACCTCATTCAATCATTCCTGTATTCATGCCTCTGGAATTTTATCACCCAGCGTTGCTCATCCATGACCATTAAATTAAGAATCTCGTTCTCTGATCAGAAAACCATCCTCAAGCTTATTGCCTGATCATTCAACTATTCCCACAGTGGCCTTTGAAGCTTCCTTGGCTGATGACAAATTTCTTCCAGCAAGTTTCAGCAGGCAGAGTTTCTTTTCAAGGAAAAGGTTGAAAGATGCCTTTCAGCGAGAAGTGATCATTAAAGCTTCTGCTTTCATTTAAACTTTTTTCAACGGCACCCTTTGCATTGGCCTCTGACTATAGTTCAATCTTTTCAGTTAAAGAAAACACTTCATGCTGACCCCAGACCCCCTTCCAGCTACTTCCTCATTTCTCTTTTCCACTTTACAGCCAAGTTGCTCAGAAGTTTCTATATTTATTTTTAGTGCAGTTCTTCCTGTTCCATTTACTCCTCAGATCATTCAGTTTGGCTTCTGTCTGACTATTCTTCTGAAATGGCTATTGGCTAATATACTCAGTTACAAGTCTCTCCCTAAATATAATAGGTATTTTTATATCTTCATCATTGCCTACCTCTCAGATGTGCTTGTTGTGACCATGCCCTTGCTTTTGAAATGTTTTCCTTGTTCACTTTGTGGGACCTGATTTTCCCTTCACCTTCCTGGGTATTTTTTTTCCTTGCATTGCCTTTGCTGATTTATTCCTTATAATTTAGCTATTTTATGGTCCTAAGAAAATTCCCTCTGTGCACACTCTCAATTATCAACAACTCAAAATTTCATCCTCAGCAAAATCTGTACTTCAGACTCCAGGCTTGTGTACCCAACTTGATATCTGCCAGTTTTTACACAAATCTCAACTTGCTAAAAACTCATCCAGCACCAGGTCCTCCTCTGCCTGAAGTACAATCCTCTTTTACTGATACCTCACTTGCAAAATCACAGTGTGATTCACAATTTACATAGTCTTCAAGAGGGAGACAGAAGACTCCCCTCCGTGACATGTTTTCCACCGCATGCCATCGAAGCAAACTAGGGATCTGCGGGCTCAATCCCCCCCCCCCCCCGCATGTGTATCGGCTTCTTCCCACCTTTCCCTTTCTCTGTAGACTGAGTGGCCTTACCTACTGTGACACTCCCAGAGTAGCTTCTAACTTTTCCAAGAACATGGTTTCCTTATTGCTTCCTTCCCAACCTTTTCTTTTCCACACAGCAGGAGAGAGGATCTTTACAAATAACAATTCTAACCATGGCTATGGCTTGATCCAACAGTCCCCTGGTTTCCTGCTGGACATAGATGCGGGCTGCACCCATACCCAGGTCACAGGCTCTGCAGGATGCTCTTTGTTGCTGGGTCTCATGACAGGCTAGTTCCAGCCCCTTCTCGGCTGACCTCTACACTGCCCTCCTCCCTCCAGCCTCATGCCCCACATTTGCTACTCTTTGTGCCTAGACCACTCTTTCTTCTCCTTTTTACCTCCTTATCTCTTGCTCTTCTTTCCTATTTCAAGCAAGGAACCACTTTCTCATACTTAGAAGTGCCTTCCCCAATCCCCTTGATCAGAACACATTCTGGCAGAAGCTCTGAGGGATTGGTACCTATCAGAGTGATTCCTAATTGGGGCTGCCATACCACTTACAGTTATGGCTCTGTGGCTTCTCTTTTAGAATATATATTATAAGATATTTAGAATAAGTATCACACCTCTGATTCCATGTGATGGGCCTGGTCTCTGTGCAGTAGGAAGGTGCATAGGAAGCGTGAGCTGAAAGACAGACAAAATGAGTGTGGGGTCAGGACGACAATGTTGGGAGAACTGTTCACATCCTTCAAGTTAAAATAGGGGCACGTTAGGAGAGAATGTATGCCACTGCTCTGTATGCTGATGACCTGCTGCAGGCCCTGCTGGGGAGCACAGCTATGGCTTTGGCTGCAGGAAGACAGACAAATTGGAGACAGAGATCCAAGAGCTGAGTATACTAAATCTAAAACAAACGTTAGGTCATTATTAACTCAGTTTTAAATGACTGATGACAATAACTAAAGGGGATTGGTGAGGAAGAGGGCTTAGGGAGGGGCAGGTTAATTCACATTATCGTTTCTTGACTTCTTCTGAAAATGAGAGTTTCATATGTTCTTTTCCCTTACACGCAGAATGGCAAAGTTATTGCAAAGATTCAGGGTGCAAATGCACCACTAGTTAATAAAAAAGTCATTGCCTTGATCAATGAGGAGAAGAAGATCGCAGCAGGTGAAATGGTTCGTCCTCAGGTAATATGACAGAGATGGTGACTATTTTAATTTTTAAATGCACTGCTTTTTGTTTTTCTTTATTGATTTTATTGAGAAACAAATAGCAATGAGACAGTTTCAAAACCAATTAGTAGTACAGTTTCAATAGTTAATACATCACATATTGTTGTCTTCATACTGGTTATTCATTGTACAAGATGCAGACATGATATCCTGTCCACACACTATTAGTACAAATCTTTCTTCTCATTGAATTAAGAGAAAGTAGCTGTATCTGTATTCTATTTTTTATATACAGATATAAAATGGCCCTTCATTTATATGCACTTTTTTGTTTAGTTTTGTCAGAGATAAGTATTCCATTGCCATTAAAATATTGTAGGTTTGCGAATTCAGCAGAATAATCCAATATAGGCCAGTAGCCCATAATAGTAGTGGGTTATCCGTAGGACTGGCAATGTCAGGAGTTGTTGACTTGAACCTTTTATAGTTTAGCAGATTAATGTGGCTTTACTTTTTATACTTTGTTTTTATACTTTTCTGCTTGATGGTTAAGATCAAGATAAAGCAAGACCTGTTTTCCTAATTTCATGTGTTATTCAGCTTTCCATGACTGTGGCCAAATAACTGAGATAATTAGCTTACAAGGAAGAAAGATATTGTTAGGCTCATGGGTTCAGATCTTGCAGTTATGTAATTTTCTCATCATGGGACCAAATACTCAACACCTATAACTTCAACGAGGAAGGCTAATTTTGCCTCTTATTTTGAGTCCATGGTTGGCTATCTTGATGGCAAGAAGGGTACTGTAAAGGGCTGGGTGGACAGAAGCTTCTCATATTCTGATATCCAAGAAATGGACAGAGGAAAGAAGAGGTGAGGAGGGAGATCTGTCCCGCAGGTCACACCCTTGGTGACACACTTCCAACTAGACCCTATCTCCAAACAACATGGTAGCTGTTGAACTATAAAATCCCATCATCTTCCCAAAGGCCCACCTCTGAACACATGAGGCTAAGGGATGCTATTCTAGATATAAACCATGAAGCTTGGTCCCGTAGCTTTGGGGCTGTGGTGAGGCAAAGCATTATGGCAGTAAGCTCATGGTGGAGCAAGATGCTCATCTCATGGAGGCTGGGAAGCAGAAAAGAGAGAAAACAGGAAGAAAGAGTGTCCCACAATCTGCTTCAAAGCCTCACCTCCAAGATGCTCACTTCCTCTCTATAAGCCCTGCATCTTCAAGGTTCTCCCACCTGCCATTAGTTCAACAAAGGAGGGGGTACCAACCCCTTAACATGAGGGTCTTGAGGAACACCTATCCATGCAATAGAACTTCACAACATCCTCAATGTCTAAAAGATACAACATTGGAAGCATTCCGCAATGTAAGTCAAAAGCACCTTTCATATTTGCCTTCAATACCTTGGGTTACAAATATTTATTTGAAACAATTTTTTAAACTGTTTTTCACCATAATACTAAGACAAATTGTGTTTTACTTGCATTATTTTTTCACAGTACCCTGATATTCTGCTCATAGAGTTAGAAAAGGCAATGAAGAAGCCTGAAAGTAAGTAAATTTACTTTAGAGTAACAGCAAGGGTGTTGTGTTCAGGGGTGTTCATTAGAGTGTTATCTGTAGTAGCAAAAATCTGGTAGCAGCAACAATGTTAATCAATAGGGGACTTTGGGATCAAGGATGATTGATATCTTTCAGGGTTGAATGACTAAAAGACACCCTCTTTTTCTTTCCTCACCTTATACTTTTGATACTGGGCAAAGACTTTCCAAGGTTAACCAGGTCAGCCAGCTCTGCTAATACAGGTCTACCATCCCAGAACTCTGGGACCCTGAAGTGAGAAGATCAGAAGGTTGAACAGAGGACAATTTGATAACTTAGTGAATTTATGTCTCCCAAATAAAATAAAATAGGCTAAAGATGTGTGCTGTAAAAAAAATAAATTAATCAGGTCTATGGATTCCTTTGACCTGCAATTAATTAAGCAGTGAGTTTCTATTTTAGCCTTCAACAACCTGTGGAAATTATTTCTTTTTGGTTTACTTTGCAGTGAACAATTACATATCTTCATGGGATTTCGTGTGGCGTGTGTGTGTGTGTGTGTGTGTGTGTGTGTGTGTGTGTGTGTGTGTGTGTTTGGTGTATTCATTCTCTGGAGGAAGCAAAGATAGACATACTCAGTGAGGTCTCACACTCCAACTTTGTCATAAGAATGTAGATATAAATTTAGGGATAGAAATTCTGTCAGTCTATAATCTTGAGCGGCGCATGCTTGAGCCTGTACTCACTGCTGGTACCGAGCTCCGTGGATCATGTGGTGATTCAAATGAATGACAATAAATTCACCAGCACCTTCTGTCCCAATTTTTTTGCCTCCTAATTAAAATTTCTTGTGAATGTTTCTGCTGCATGCAAATATGTAACGTGTCCTTTGATTCTAAGTAGAAACACTCTTCTACTTGAAATGCCATAGTTCCAAGGCATGCTACCCATGGTCAGAAAGTTACTGATTGTCAGAAATTTACACTTATAATCCTTAAGTGTCTCATCTTTTTTTTCCTGGTATTGGGGATAGAACTCAGGATCTTGCTCTTGTCAGTCAGGTACTTATGTCATTGAACAATATCCCTTGCCCCCCTGTGGCCCTTTTTTGTTGCAGTACAGTGAAATTGTCTTTTCCCTAGGGGAAATGTATAGCATTGCTGTTATCAAGCCCGATGCTGTGCTTAAAGCAAAAGCTCAAGAAATTAAAGAAAAGGTAAGTAATCTTTATCAATAATAACTGAACTTCAGAGTAATAACACTTTAACTATCATGTTAGAGTCGAGCTTATAACCCAGAATAATACAATATAATGAACAACTGGCACTAGGTACCTCTAAAGGGTTCAAGCATCCTATGCATACCAAGTGTCTATTTCCTCAGGTAACCTCCTTTAAATAAACCTACTTTCCAGTTTAAAATGTAAATTATAAACTATTATTCTTATATTGTAGTATTCTCTTCTCATTTAGCTATTAGCAATATCATCTTGATATAAACTCACATTTGGCTTCACCCTCTGAAAATTATTACACGTAGATAGCCTTTATCAATATGTGAAAATTAAGAAAGATTTAATGTCTTGCTTTAGAGTGCAAATAAATTGTATGATGTAGAAGTAGTTATATTTCATGTGTATATATTTTCATATATATGAAACCATATTTTAATTTAGAAGCCAGAAAACTTGTCCAGTAAAGGGTCAAATAGTAACTATTTGGGATTTGTTTGCATAAGGCCCCAGGCTGCAACAAAAAGATAATACACAAGTGTGGTTGTGGTTTAGAGAACTTTATTTACCAGTACAAAGAATGACATGGATTTTGACTTTAGCCTGCAGTTTCTCACCTCTTGAAAGAGGACCCTATGTTGAAACAAAAAAATAGTATGTTAAAATTTGAAGGCATGCTACATGAGCAATAGAAGAGGTCGTATAAGGAGCTATGTCAAGAGGAGTAAGAAATTCTTCTTTTGCTTTTTCATTAACCAGTTTCTGTTTGTTTGATATGGTCAGGATCTTTCTTTTTGTCCAGTTCATATCCCTTCTTTATCTCTTTGATAAATAACTTCTTCAAATTTTATGTTTTGAAGAGAGTACAAATTAGAATTAAAACAGAAAATATTACAAGTGATATTGATTTTCACTTAACAAAGTAATATGGATTTGATAGTATTTGCTATAATACATTGTGCTGTCTTCCAACCAGTTATTCATATTACCAGATACATGCATACAAAATTGGAAGATGAAAGAAAAATGCATAAGAAATTAAGAAGACAAAAAGGTGAAACAATTGAAAAAGGGAGACAAAACAGATTAAAACATTAACTGCTTCTTTCCATAGACCAGCAGAAATGCACAGTACAGTTGTCCAAACCATCCTGCTTACATACATAGATAAATCTCTTCCCCCACTCTCTCTTCTGTTCTTCTCCTCAACTCAGTAACTCTTTTCTTTTGAATAAGTTTTGATAAATAATTTGAACTTAAAGAAAGTTAGCAAAAGCAGCACAAAGAACTTTTGCCCCTAAACTATTTGAGAATACTTTATCAATAGTGTATTCCCTGCTCACCCAGTACTTGAATACTTCACTCTTAAAGCAAACATTTCCTCCCAGGTAATCACAATACAACATTAGATTGGAGAAATAATATCAATACTTCCCATCATACATTCACTCTTTAACTGTAGCAGCTCTGGTACAAAGTAAACCACCATAAACAGATACTCTACAAGTTGTAAAATGTATTTGTTACAATTTTAATTTAGTTTAATTGATATCACTTTCTATGGATTGCCCTCCAGATTCTAATGTGTGTGGGTGCGTGGGGAGTTAGATGGGCACCAAATGGCATCCTATTTGCTCACACATGAGTAAGACTTTATCATGCGTTTCAGAAATAATAGTACATACCAAGACATACTCCATACTAGAGTGTGTTTTAATAACCACGGTGGTAAAAGCTTTCAACATGATAGAGTTCTTTTAATTGAGAGTGTACTATGCATGATTAATTCATGTTAACACTTTTTTGTTATTGTTCTGATGTGATAAACAACATTTCAGTGATGGTATACATTCATAAAACACTTCACTTTTTTGGAATATAGTACAAACAAATAGGACAGGGAAAAATCATGAATGTTTTAAATAAAAATAGACTTGTACTTTTAAGCTTCTGGGAAGAAAAACTTGCCAAGCTTAGCAACATATGGGTTCTTTTATCTGTTGTCTATTGTTATATAAATTGACAAAGGTATAATTTGGAATTTTACAAGTTTTTCAAACTGGAATATCAATGACAAGTGGGGTTGTTAAATACAAATAATGCAGTAAAGTTTTTGTTTTTCTAAGCAGAGCAGAACAGATCTGATAATGGATACTCCAAAGTCAAATTGAGCCAACATTACTGGTGTCATTTAATGTAATTACTGAGTTTTGTTGAACCCAAATCCTGTTCTAATGTAATTGCTGAGTACCTCATTGAGTTTGTCATATTGGGTTTAAAACTTCTTTTTGTTGCATTTTATTATATGTAAATGGCATTTAAATTGATTTTTTTTTTTAAATTTCTTGGTTGTGGTACAGCATTTCACTACATGGCTTGAACTCATAGTGATCCTTTTGTTTTAGCCTCTCCAGTGCTGGGGTATGCATCACCACGCCCACTCTTGGTGGCTTGCTTGGCGCACCCCGGGCAGCGCCCTCACAGCATGTGGTATTGGGGATTGAACCTGGGTACTTGTGCTTGCTTAGGCATGTGCTTAGACCGCTGAGCTATCTCCACAGCACTTTAAATTGAATTTTGTCATTGATTTTCTATTAAAACAAGTGAAACATTTTTAATTCTTAAATTCTAATCCTTCCTAATAATTTAAATGCTTTTCTTGCTGACATAGTTTATTGTCTTATAAGAACTGCAATAAATTAATGTTATGAATTTCTAAAAATGAAAACAAAATAAGTTAAAGACAATTTCAAGAGTAGTTAAGAAGTGCTTGAGAATTTATGGTTTTATGAATGATTTAGAAAACTGGTATTTTTCCTTAGAATTAAATTAGCTTTTTTTATTGGGAGGTAATTCACTTTTATAAAAATATTTCAGAGTCCCTGCTTCAGTCTCTGAAAATTTGGGTTCTAGGGAACATGAAAGAATCTCCTTTCTATATTTCTAAACCATTTCAAATCTAGTACCCTGTGTATTTTATTGAGGGCCTTACATGAAAGGCATTGAAATCGGGTTATACAGTAGAAAATCCTCTGTAGAGCATGGAGAACAGCTCAACAAAGAGACAATGGAGAATGGGATAAAATATTTTCCAGCTACTCTTCCAAGCAATGATTGATACCTACACTATATTGAGAACTCAAAAAATTTAACACAAGTAAGTCCAAGTAACCCGATCAATAAATATGCAAACAAAATGAACAGACACATCTCAAAAGAAGACATACAAGTGATCAATAATTATATGAAAAAATGTTCAGTATCCTTAATAATGAAATGTTAATCAAAACTACATTGGAATATCATCACCCTAGTCCAAATGACTATCATAAAAAATATACAAAACACTATTAGCAAGAACTCAAGGAAAAGGATTCCTTCTACACTGTTGGGAATATAAATTGTCACAGTCACAATCAAAATAAAAATGGGGGTGCCTCAAAAACATTTTAGAAAACTATTATTTTGTCTAGCTACACTAATCTTTGGTGTATAACTTGAAAGAATTTAAGTCACAGTACCACAGAAATATCTGCATACTCACGTTTACCGTGGACATAGCCATGTTTCCTAAAACAGACTGTGTGCTGGTAAATTAACAAAGAACATGCAGTGTGCACATACACAGCACAGTATTACTGGCCACAAAGAAGAATGAGATCAGAGTGAGGATATAAGTCAGTCGTAGAATGCTGGCCCAGTATGTGGCAGGTCTTGAGTTTAATCTCCACTGCCAAAAAAGGTATATATGTATATTTTTTTATTTTCAGGAAAAGGTATGAAACTGGATATCAACATGTTAAGCAAAATAAACAAGACTCAGGAAGACAAATGCTACATGTTTATGTTTTTTTCTTTTATGTGGAATCTAGGGGTAGAGAAGGAAAGACTGCATGAAAGTAGAAGGAAGACTGTGAGAGAAGAGAAAGGGAATGGGGTGGGGAGAGGAAGCACAAGGTGTTAATGAGGGATGGAAATAGCTAAGGTAAATGTATGTTTGAACATGCCAAAGTGAAATTCATTACTCTGTATAGTTACTATACACATTTAAAAAATCCTAATGTATCTGTGAGGCCTAGGAAACAAATAGCCTTCACTTTATTTTACCTATGATCCATGACATATCCGGTTCTAACCTCACTGCAGATCATCACAGCAGGATTTGTCATAGAAGCAGAGGAAAGGGCCATACTCACTGAAGAGCAAGTGAGGGACTTCTATAGTCAGACAGCAGACCAGGTAAGGAGATTTAAGGAGGGGTGGAGGTGTAGCCCCATGTAAACTGCTTGCTTTGCACGGATGAAGCCCTGGGTCTAATCCTCAACATTACAAAGAAACCTAGAAAAAAGGTTATGAATGGTACTCTTTGTTTCAATATATTCAAGCAGAGTAACTCCCATAAGTAGATCTTCATTACAGAAAAGCAAATGAGTCTGGCCAAGTAAAAGAGTTTCAGATGTCCCTGTCAGTGTCCACACTTTGGTGGCATGAAAGATGGATATAAGGGAAATTACTGGTAGAAATAATGACATCCAGAAAAGGGAATGGGCCACTTACTTTGAGCAGTAAAGATCTCTTTTTGCCATCTCCTCAGGAAGCGAATATCTAGTCTTTCTCTACAAATGTTTATCCTGGGCTGAAGGGTCTTTTTTAATCATAAACCCTACAGAAAAACCCTAATTAATTCTTTATCTGAAAGCCTTTCTTTCAGTGTGTATTTGTTTATATTCTTTATTTGCTGAAGGAATAGGATAAAGGCAGTGCTAGATAGTATTAGGAAGCACCATATATTTAGGTATCAGAAAACCTATCTTCCAGAAATGCATACTTTAGTATGGTGAGTACTATATGAATGTGGCCATTTGAATTTGCATTCATTAAAAATAAAATTAAAAAGCATTAAACATTCAGGGTCTCTGTCACCCTGCTCAGACTTCAAGGGCTCAATAACCACTGTGTTGGAGAGCACAGACAAACAAGTTGACCATCACAGGCAGTTCTCCTGGACAATGCTTTGAAGGACTGGCTGCACCGTCTAAATCCTCTTTCTGGATCTAGCTTCCACAGGTATAAAGAGAAAGGGTTTTCCAGCAGTATCACAAATACATTAAACTTCTGAGAAAATCCAGCTTCTGAACTCCACCCCAAAGCTACTGAACCAGAAACTCTGGTAATTTGTTCTAGAACATTCTGTTTAACAAGCCCTTCACCTGACCTGTAAATATTCTAAAACTTAAAAAAGATTAGTTCCTACAGGATGTGAGCATCCCTCCTTCAAAGATGACTTTGTAAATAAAGATTTATACAAATAATATCCCCTTGCCCATGGATCCTGAAACAGAAGATGTCACTGGTCATGGACAGTGCACTCCATTTTATCACATCTACCTCCAGAGCCTTGAATAAACAGCTTATCATCTTATTTTGTAGCCTGACTTTGAAGAGTTCCTGTCTTTTATGATAACTGGTCTAAGCTATGTGCTACTTATAGTTCAAGGAAAAGGACAAAGTCCTAAGGAAGAAAGTGAGATAAAAGCCAAAGAATCACCTGAACTTTCAACTGAGTATAATGCTAAAAAGTGGAACAGGTAACTAAGACTAGAGATTTGTCATTTAGAATGTATCACTAGGTAATCAAATCTCAGAATAACACATGAGTTTTATACTATATTCACAAGGAATTCTTCCCATCAGCTTGAATTATTGTCAACTGAATGGACTGGAGAGACTGGCAGGTCATACTTCCAAGTGTGGTAGGTGGGGTCAGGGGTGTGATCTTGCAGATTATTTCTTGTCCGAGGACTTTTCTTCTCTTACCCATCTGCTCCTATCTACTCCCGGATGCCATGAGTCAGGCTGTTTTCCTCTGCTACACCCTTCATGATGCTTCTACCATGGATCCAGTTGACCATGGAGTAGAATCATGAGCCAGAATGCGTCTTCTAGGCTGCAACCTAGTGCGGCGGTCTCCTCGCAGAGCTGTGGAGTGTGAGGTCGCCGGTTCGCGCCCCCGTCCCGACTCTTTCTCTTGGGGCCAGGGAGATGGCTCAGTAGGATAAGTGCTTGACTGGCAAATGCAAGGATCTGAGTTCAATCCCCAGTTCCACCAAAAAAAAAAACCAAAAAAACCAGAATGTGTCTTCTTCCTTTCAGGTGCAGGTGTTTGTCCCTTATCCCAGGAATGACAAAACTGGGACAAAATACATGAAGATTGCCCGAAAAGTTTACACGAAGAACAATGAAGAAGGATTGCCCCTGTATGTCCTTATAAACCCTGTGCAGTGTAATCTGGTCTCAAGGCCTCGGGCTTGAGAAGTACATCAGAATCCCAAGGGATCCCCCAAACATCTGACCAGCTCCCACAGTCCTTTTCCGCCTTCTCTGTGCATCAATTAAACTTTTCCCCCCTAAAGGCAGTAGTTATTGGTTATAAATTGCTGACAACAATCTGGCTGTCCATTTTTATATAGAAATGGATACTAGTAATTTGCAAAATGTTGAAGTTATGTGTATTTTTCAGACCTCTGAGGATGCAGAGAATCCATAGCTTCCAGCTGTCAGGGTTGTGCCTGAAAAAACATTGGGCAAGGAGGACCAGGCTTAGGGTGTCTGAGTCTCAGGGTTTCATGGGGACGTGAACCCACTGCTTGCCTCTCATCTCTTTTGTATTTGTTGATTGGTGGTCCCCAGGACTTTCCTCATTGTCTTGTTAATGATTAGTGGAGGTTTTCCATGAGTAACTACAGCTTCTCTTCCTAGCAGTGTCATGCCTTTTAGGTAGCAGAAATTTATAAACCCATTCACTGTGAGTTTTATTTAGAGGAACTGCTTAATACTGCCAAAGGGCTTTGTACCCAGTGGTCTTTTCAGGGTTTGGGCGGAAGGAGTTCTGGGCTTAAAAAGACATTAAAATTTATATCATAGTTTCTAAACCATGCGAATATAAAAAGAAGTTTTCTGTGAAATACCAAGTGACACAATAGATGTAGGAGAAGTTGAAATTTTATTGGTACTGTTACCTGGGCAGTAAGTCTCCATCATATTCAGCTTTGGAGAGGTGTTGTATCAGATTGTTCAACACCCACATTACAATGTTGTGGTTAGTTTACGTGGGAACACCTGGCTGAACTGATCAGCATGGTTCTGACTATGGAAGATTCACCTCAGGATTCCTGCCAACAGCAGAAAAGGAGAGCTAGAGGGTAAGACTACTTGTTGCTGATTTTCCTGAGAAGCTATGTTGGGGCAGTTTTTGTTCAAAGGAGCTTTGGCTGGTGTCTTCCTTAAGGAGAGCATCATTTCTCATCGTCTTCATCTTGGACATCACCTCTTGGTTTCCAGGGCAGGTATCTCAGCCTCCTGGCACAGATCCTTCACCTTACCAGTACAGCCTTTGTAGCTTCCAGCACTGGCACTTGGGTCTTTCGGGTACAGACCCTTGCTATGGACATACACAGGTCATTGCCAAGGGCTCCACCCCTTGGCTGAATCCTTCAGGTCTGCAGCATGCACACAGGCATTTTGCTCTCATCTGCATCTAAGTCTAGTAAGCACTGACTGACACATGTATGGACAGTGTAGGCATTTTCACTGGTGGTAGGGCGTGGGGGGAAGGAGAGCAGGCCACCTTGCTTTGGCATGGCCTGCAATATTTTATTTCTTAACTTACGGACTTCACTTGGCCTTTGTCTTTTGTTTGTCTTGAGCACTGGGCCCAGGCAGGAAGCATGCAATGGTGTGGAGCTGGCTTGGTTGGTGATTGCTGTTGTTCTCACAGGAAGGGGCTTCTAGAGCAGCCTTAGTTGAAGACCAAAGTCTAAGAAAAGATAGAAACCATCTGGGAAGCTTTACATGCAGTGTATTTTTATTATTAAAGAAGTATAATGTATTTTAACTTGGGTTTTATTTATCATTTCATAAATTCAAACAATGAAGATGTCTAGCCACTCCTTTTTGGAGGACTTCAATAGAAAGCTTGATTAAATTTTATGTTTGCGGTATGAGAGAAGTGTGGTTCTATCTTTCGATCAAGTGCAAATTTTGTCTTACTTAGCTCTGAGTAATTCGTGAACATAATTGTCAGTTAATTTGTTGACATATTTCATTGGGGTGTAAATCCACCACTTGCAATTCATCTTTTTTGCATTTATGGCTTGGGGTCCCCCATAATTTTCCTCATTGTCTCACTAATGAATAGTGGAGGTTTTCCATGAGTAACTCCACCTTCTCTTCCTAGCAGCATCATGTCTTTGAGATAGGAGAAGATAAAGTTGAATTTATTGCAGCCTTCAATTACATTTTCAATTTCCACAGTTTACAAGAATGTCTGGAACAACAGCATTTGTCTCAGTTTTGCGATGTGGAAGACAACGAAGTCAATGTAACTAGGCTCACTGATGTCTTCTTCCCTGAGTTTAAAATAAATAAAGGGAAGAAATTACAAAGGACAATGGCATTACTGAGACCAGACCTCCTGGAAAAGCAAGGTAGGAAATAAAGCATAAATGTTCAAATAGTTTATAGATAGGATTAGAGCGTTCATTTACTAACTTCATTTATTATGCATTTTAATAGCTTCTCAGTAGCACTGTTAATAAGCTGGTCATAATGAATAACACTCTTTTTGACATTAAAGAGTTAACAAAGGGCCAGCGAAATGGCTTTGCAAGATATGTGCCTGCCTGGCAAGTGAAACATCCATTGTTCGATGTCAGATACTGAAAAAAAAAAATAATGAAAAAAGAGTTAATGAAGCATTTTCTAACCTGTGACTCATGACAGTCAATTTTGCCTGGCCAGGATCACAACTTAGGAGAGCTAGGACATGCTCATGTCTGAAATGCCTCAATTCAGAGCGCAGGTCCACCCTAATTAGCAGCATCAGTGTCACAGAGTCTGTCTCTTTATATGGAAGAGTCAGAGGATTGAACGCAGCAAACTTAAACCAAGGGTCTGACACCTTGTTAGTCTGTTTATTTATTTATTTATTTATTTGTACAGCATCTCAATACACAGCACTGACTCATAGTGATCCTCCTGTCGTCTTAACCTCCCCAACACTGGGATTACAGGCATGCGCGGGGCTGGCACTCATGTAGTACAAGGGATCGAACCCGGGTCCTTGTGTTTGCCAGGCAGGCGCTGAGACGGTCGAGCTATCTCCCCAGCCCTTGTTAGCTATTTTTAACCTCAACCTGCATTCACAGGGTAGAGTGCATACTAAAGAGTAAGCGCTGAGTATATGCATTAACTCTTTTCTTAAATTGGCCCTTCTCCCTCCTCTTTTAAAAAAATACGTAACACCATAGATGGAATCACAATTTGCATTTGCATATTAACTTTTTATCTTCTGATTTGCTGAACTCAGTTCTGGGAGCTTTGTATTTCTAGGGAGAGGAGGATTTCTTAACCTTATATCCCCTCACCTTTTGGGCTGGGTTATTCTTTTACAGGAGTGGAACTCTGTCAGGTGCTCTGTAAAGTATGTTTAGAAGTGCTTTTGCCCTCCACCTGCTCCCTGCCAGGTGCCACGGGAGCTCTTCCCAGCCCTGCTGTGAGGACCAAAAGTGCCTCCAGCCTCCACAGAGTTTCTTTTGCGGGGCCCAATCTCCCTGGCTGAGAACCACGGACGTGGGCACTGCCTGCAGGGCAGAAGCGTCATCCCTCTTCCTTCCACACATGGGACTTTTACTTCCTTTGCTACTTTACAATTTATATAAGAAGTTTAATTAAACTTAAGTTAAAATCTAAGGAGCTGTTTTCATGAACATTTCTATTTCCTAAGGAAAAAATATGCCCTCAGGATCACACTATCCATATATAAAAATATATATACACATATATATTTATATGTAATGTTGTTTATATATATTTATATATAGGGCATATATTTACATATAGGATATATATATAGGTTTCTTCATATATAAGTATATATGGTATAAATGTTACTTATATAATATATAATATATAATATATAATATATAATATATAATATATAATATATATGTATTCAGTAACCCACCAGTTTATAACTTGCCATGTTGTGCAATCATTTTTGATTTAGATGATATTTTCCATATTATTAAAGATGAAGGCTTTAAGATACTGATGGAAAGACAAATAGTATTATCAGAAGAAGAAGCCAAAATGCTGTGTGAGGAGTTTGAAAACAAAAGCTATTTTGAGAAGCTTATAGAAAATATGACCAGGTAAAGGAGCGTTCAGCTCTCCAAGCGCGGTGGCACTGATTTCCTATTCATCGAAGCCTTCTCCTACCACCGCTTTTGCTCACCTTGGCCAGACTCTGGCCTCCACAAACAGGCTCGGAGTCCGCTGCTCCGCCAGCCCTGCGCCTGTGCTGACTATGTGCACGCCTTGCGCCTCCGCTGCACTTGCTGGCGTGTTGCTGGAGCTGTGGAAAGGCTTGAAAGCAGACGGGAGACTGTTGGTAGAAAAAAGAAAGGGAACACAGGGGGGGTCACAGTGGGGATGGGTATGATCGAATTACATCACGTGTATTGAAACCCTACATTTTCTCCAGTCAGTACTGATAATAAAATGGAAAATTAAAAATGATTAAATAATTGATGTAAATTACCTTGATCTAGAGTGCAAAGAAAAATTAGAATTATTTATAATAATGATTACTAGTATTATTGTTGTTCTGTATTTGAGATTGAACCCAGAGACTTTGTATTGAGCTACATTCTTAGCTCTTTTCTTAATTTTTACTTTGAGAAACTGTCTCACTAAGTCACTAACTTGCCCTTGCAGGGCTCAAATTTGTGATCATCTTGCCTCAGCTTTTCAGAGTACTTGGATTATAAGCAGATGCTAATATACTGAGATATTATATTTGTAATGAAGTTTAAAATCCACATGCTTTCACTGCTAATCAGGAAACGAACAAATTGCTACCCTTTGAATAAAAATATGAAATAAAGACAAGAACAATCCCAGAGTGGCTGATGGTCCCTAGTTGGCTTGAACTCCAGGAATCCAGGGTGTACAGCATCAACACAGGGCCAACTGACTCACAACACATTCTGGTTTGATCAACCTGACTTTTGGGTAGGGCCTCACAATCCTACAGATCAGGCTTAGGAAAGGAATGAGATATTTGAAATGTGTTAAGTTTCTATAAGAGTGGATAAAAGAGCAGCTGGGGTAGAAATCCAGCAAGGGCATAAAAGCCAAAAGCCTCATAGGAATCAGGAAAGAATCACTTGGCAAGAATCAAGGCCCCTCTCCTTCTTCCCCTCTCTTCTTGGCTTCTAACTTCTTAGAAAAATGCTCTTGAAAGGCTTTCTAAGAAAACTGGTGGTAGAACCCTACAAGGATCACTTTGACATGTTTTCAGTCTATTTAGCTAATTTATCTTATTTATCTCATTAGAAACTAAGCCATATTCTTAGTAACTATTTTTGTTTTTTTACCAGGCAACCATCTCTTGCCCTTGTGTTGTTAAGAGAAAATTGTGTGCAGTACTGGAAAGAATTGCTGGGACCGAGGACTACTGAGGAAATCAGTGACTGTCATACAGACAGGTAAGATTTGTGCCCAAGCTTTTGTCATGGAATCCATTTCATCGTCATTTTGGTGTGGGGTACAAGAAGCACAGCTAATCCAAGAAAATGCCTAGGAAGTTGACTTTTCCTGGGGATGTGGCAGACTATTTATGATGAAGTTCCCATCCAACACCAGTTTGAAGATGGACAGTGTTTTAAAAGAGGACTTTGGGCTTTGGTTGAGAATGAAGAGGTGGATACTCAGCCAATAAAGCTTCTCTTGGGGAAAAATGTCCTACTTACTTGCTATTTAGCACGAATTCCTTTGAGAGTCTGCGGTGACAGCTGCAAGCCTTGAGTTGATCGTAAGACTTTAAAGACAACGATGACTTTCTAAATCTGTCCTCTGCAATTTGATGGAACATCTACTTAGTTTGCTGATGAGTCTTAGAAGTCAGCTAAGCTTTGCTCTCAGTTCAACACCTGGTATAGTCCTGGAACAGATAAGCAAACTTCAGAATTTTTTATGTTAACTGTCAGACTTGGCAACATCTGAAAGATAGAAAAAGTACAACTTCCCTCTCCGTACTTGGCAGGTAGTTGAGGGAAACAAACAGAATTGTGGTTCACGTACCACTCTCCCATTTTTCCCCCTTTTTTTACAATCTAGGGATTAAACTCAGGGCTTTTACTCCCATTCTCACATCTTATAAAATATTTTCTTTTGAGATAGGGTCTTGCTAAGTTGCCCAAGCTGGGCTTGAAGTTGTGATCCTCCTGCCTCAGCCTGCAAAAGGACTACTTATTTTAAAGTAAGATTCAATTCAAAGGAAAAAAAGACTTCCTTTACAGTGTGTATGAATAAAGACATCACAAATTCAACTTACATGTTGGCACACTAAATAACAGTACAGAGGAGCAGCACTTACGTGAACTTTCTTTGGGATACTTGTGTCTCACTTGTCCTCCAAGGACATGCCTTGTCTTTTATTCAGACCTATTCACTTATATATTTGCTCCTTGCTGGACAATTACTCTAAGGATAATATGAGGAGGACAGTCTGCAAGAGCATCTGTAGGATTGCTTTGTAAAATGTGGTATGCAATGTTGCCTAGTCAGCTTTCCAAGTGCTGGACATAGCATCCATCATCCACAGCTTAGAGGAGGAGAGGTTTAATTTGGCTTGTGATTTATGAAGATTCAGTCCATGGTCAGCTTGCTGCAACACAGACATCATGGTGGGAGGGTGTGGTGGAGCAAAACCTCTTAGTTCATAGAGGTTAGAGAGCAGAGCAGGGAGCAGTAACCAAAAGGGAGGGATCCAGCGTCTGGACCTAGATCCCAAGATCACACTCCCATGATCCACTCAAATACTCAAAGGGCTGCTTTGCTGGTCACCTGGGCATCTTAGTTCCCAGAGCCAATCGAGCTGATACTCTGTCCTATGAACCATCATATGGCATTAAAGAGACTTATTCTTTTTTTTTTCTTTTCAAAGTTTTATTGATAAACATATAGCAATGAGACAGTTTCAAATCAAATCGAAAGTACAGTTTCAACAAATAATACACTGCATATATTCTTCTTAGTGGTTAATTGCTGTACAAGATGCAGACTTGTGATCCTACTTACAAACACCATTAGAAAAAATCATTCTATTCATTAAGAGAATGCAACTATATATCTATCCCAACCACTAAGAGACTGATTCTTATTAACACAAGGTCTATGACCATAAGCACATTGTTCTAGGCAAATAGTGGAGGCTGCACAGTGCATCAGAACTGTTTTCTCCATGTGAAGATACTTTGTGACTGCTTGTCTCTATCTCAGTAGTAGAGGGAGAGTTCTATGGAACCTTGGTCAGCCTTTCTTTTTTGATCTCCGTGTTTCCAGTTTCACTGCCTCTACCTAACTCTTACAGGCTACTTTTAGGAGTAACTCAACAGCAAGAAGTACCTCCAAAGAGAAAAAGGATTCACACTATTCTGAGTGAAAAGGGATGTTGTTCAACACAGTTGGATTTTGGTGGACTGGCTGATCACACTGCATTATTTAAAGTATAGAACATGAAATGAACCGAGGTTATCTCTTCTCCTGAAATAGGCTTCACTAGCTAAAGGAGAGACAAAAAGATAGCAGATGATGCACACAGGAACATCATTTGATTTACAAGACACACAATCTCCTAGAGAGAAAGAAACATAGTAAATTGCCCCAACATGGATGGCCCAATACAATCAGCCACTTCTTTCTACAGACTACCTGTGTGCTCTATTCTATTGCTGTATCTCCTACCCTGATTGCTGCATTATAGTTCCTAAATTCAATGTTTATAATTTATTCTTTTTGGCACAAATCCAAATAAGATCTTATACTTGATAGTATTTAATCCGTTTATCATTTATTCTGGAATAACTTATGAATTGCAGGCTGGGCCTTTACCTCCAAGTTTGTCAAGATATTTTTGCAAAATAGTGTCTAGTCTTCAGAGGTAAATGTCATCTTCATATCTCTAGCATTCTGTTTTTATTTTTATTTTTAATATTTATTTTTTGCATAATTTTATTGATAAACAAATAGCAATGAGACAGTTTCAAATAGCTTTCTGTTTTTAGAGTGGTGTTCTTGCTTACAAAATATACAAAATCTTGATTTTTAGCTGGGCTTTGAAATTTATTACACACACACACACACACACACAAATGATTAAATACATGATATGCATTTCCTTTTGCACTAGAATTGAGTGAAGTTCTGTTTAGCAATAACTCCAAGAACAGTTTTTGTATTTCACTGTTACTGTGAAAACCAGTCAAATTTGCTTCAGCTTCATAGAGTCCATGCTTCGTATTTTATAAAAATTGAATGAGTGCTGACAGCTAGCTGTATTTTTTTTTCTGAATATCAAAGATAGAAACAAGGGGAGAAATATTGAGAGCTCAATATGCTCCACGTCTTTCAAATACCTCATCTGCTTGTGCCTTCAGAAACCACCTTGTGGGGCCAGCAAGGTAGCTCAGCAGATTAAAGCGCCTGCTTAGGCAAGTTTAGGCAAAACACAGGGACCACAGTTCCTCCCTAGCACCCACGGGCGGCATTAGCCCCGCCCCCCCCAGGGCAGAATGAGCTGGCCAGAGGCTGAGCATGGTGGTGTATGCCTGTAATCCCAGCCCTGGGGAGGCTGAAAGCAGCAGGGCACCATGAGTCCAAGCTGTGTGGTGAAACCCTGTAAAAACCAAATACATTAAAAACAAACAAACAAAAAATAAAAAAAAAAAAAAAAAAAAAAAAAACCAAAACACCTTGTACACAGCTTTGAGAGAACTAACGTACAAAGAAGTTTAAGCATTGCGCAGTCTAACATACCTAGCAAGTAACAAGGATCCAACCGCTGGGCTTGCCTGCAGTACCTATATCCATTCTTCCTTTCGTGGTTATCCATTCTCATGGTGATCTGAATGATCATGTCTTTTCTTCCTAATGGCTGGCACCTCCTTGGAAGGAAGTAACCCGCCTTTACTCCCTTTTGTCCACTCCTACAATCACTTACTGCACTGCTGAACAGTAATGCCTGAAGAATCCACGTAAGTATTGTTATCCTAGGCAGTTACACTGTGTTATCACAGATTCTGAATTTAACTTCTTTTTCAAAGTTTGTGTGCGCAGTTTGCAGTGGGAAGCTTGCCTATCAACCAGTTGTATGGAAGTGATTCGGCAGCCGTTGCTGAAAGGGACATCCAGTGTTTCTTTCCTCTTGAGAACACATTCGCGCTGATTAAGCCTCACGTGACACGTGAACAAAGAGGTAAATATTTTAAAATAAAAGCTGGCATGTATATTTTTCATCCAAATTTGGTGAACATTTTTAATCTACAGAAAATATCAAAAGAATAATACCATGAGTACTCATATCCCCTTCTTCTAGATTCAACAAGTAACTTCGTTGAATTTATGTGTGTTATTAGTTACTCTCCTATCATTGGGGCAAAATAGTCAACACTGGCAACTTACAGGTGATGACATTTATTTGGGCTCATGCATTAGTCCATGGCCAGCTGGCTCCAAGGCAGAAAGAGGGTGGGTAGGAGGGTCTGGCCCAAGAAGGTGCTCAGCCCTGGTAACCAGGAAGCAGAGAGAGAAGGGAGGAGCTAGGGACAAGAACGCACTCTCCCTGCCCTGCCTCTTGTCCTTGTCACCACCTTCATCCAGGCAGCTCCACTTCCTGGCACACATTTGGCCACAAGCTTGTCAATGAATCATCTAGCTCTCTCTCTCTCTCTCTCTCTCTCTCTCTCTCTCTCTCTCTCTCTCTCTCTCTCTCT